CACGACTAGACACCTCCTAGCCCTCTCACCCTCTCCCTCAACCACGAAGTCTCTCCTCATTGTCGCTTTCGGGTTCAGGCTCCGCTGGCTCCTGCCAATTCTCCTCGATGTTACAGAGATCGTACTGCCTGAGCAGTCCGGTTCTCTGTACCATCCTGGTTGCCGCCCGACAACCTCTTTCTGTACTCAAGAGCGTTTTGAGGGAAGGGCGGATGCCTTCCTTTAAACTGCTTTCGAGGCATTCTTCCCTCAACTCTACCCAGGTCGGGCAGTGTAGGAGCACGTGTTGAACGGTCTCTAGCTTTTTGCCGGTGCAGGCTAAGCACCACGGCGTTTTGATGTCGGGGACCTTCCTGTTGAAGAGGAAAGCCCTGAAGCCCACCTTGCCGGTCCTTAGTTGAATTGCGAGCAAGGACTGGTGTCTCTTGAGTGACCTATGGATCTTTTTCACTTTGGGGTCAAGGTATGGCTGGATAATCCTGCTGTGTGCCCCCTTTTTGCTTCGCTTCCACCTCTCCTGCCACCTTCGACGGCAGTCGGTTTGGATTGCTGTTTTTGCTCGCTTAAGGGCGCTGTTCTGCTCGTCTTCACCCTCCTGGCCTTCCGCTTCCGCTGAGACCATAGGCGTGATTGCTGACGTCCAGAGGGACATCTCTTAGATCGGACCGATGTACTCTGGGGTCCTTCCTCTTATTCCTCTCCCCCTGAGAATTGCCGCCACACGACGTTCAATACCTTTATACGCTTCCGATATTGTGCATCGCGCCGCGGCGTTCAGAGTCAGCTTATCTAGGAAGAGGTCCAATGGTTGGACCCCTGTCTCTGCCTCGAGCGCCTCCGTCGACGTGGCCTTATACGCGCCGGCCACGGCGCGGAGGAACTTGCCCTGAGCTGCTTCGAATTTGCCAGCGATCGTCTTAGTGGCACCTCCAAGGGCGGTCGGTTTATACCACATCAGAGAGCCATAGGTGAGTCCCGCACGGACCATTCCTTGGTAGACTCTCTTGCTTGCGTTCAGCGTGGCTCCCCAGGTCGAGCCCTGGAGTGATCTCAACGCCGCCAGAAGGCTTGGGACCTTTCCCAGTACCCTCTTTTGGTGTGCTTTGCCTGACAGCTTCTTGTCGAGGTGTACCCCGAGCACCTTAATTGTTTCCTTTGGCTCGACCGTGATATCTTGAATCTCGAGGTTTCCCTCTAGGTCGGCCCCTCGTGCTCTCGCCATGTGAATCATCTGGTACTTGCTAGGATTGAAGCTGGATCCATGCTTCTCCGCCCAGGCTTCACAGATGGCGTGCACTTGTTGCAGTCGCCCATAGTTGGCCGCTGCTGATTTTCCGTAGACCAGCACGTTATTGTCGTCGATAAAGGCCGTCGTGCTAGAATGGAGTCTCGTTACCGCGCAACCCTCGACGAGGTCCGCGTTGTAGAAGAGGTAGAGGATTAGTGAGATTGGGGAACCTTGCGGTATCCCTACCTGGACTCCTTTTGATAGGGAGACATAGTCTCCCAGTCTGATGGAAGTCTCCCTGTTTCCCAGGAAGCTTTCCACCCACTTAATAAGGAGTTCCGGCACCCTTCTCTTCCTTAGGTCGTGGAGGAGCCTCCGATGGGAGACTCTATCGTATGCTTTCGCGACGTCCATCGAGAGGATTGTCACGACCGCATTTTTATCCCTAGTCCAGACTGCCCTCGATTGTTCAGCGATATTGAGCAGTGCCAGGTCTGTTGATCGGTTAGGTCTCGCTCCGTACTGCGAATCAGGTAGGAGCGTCCATTTCTCGGCGAGGTCGCTGATCCTTTTTGCGACTATCGATTCCAGTACTTTCCCAAGGGTATTTAGGAGGGCAATCGGTCTATAGGAGCCAGGGTCCGTATAGTCCGCCTTGCCGGGCTTCTTGAGAAGCACCGTAGTTGCCTTTCTGAATTCCGCTGGGTGGTAGCCTACTTTTAGGCATGCTGAGTATAGTTGCCTCATGCCATGCCTAGCGATATAGATCACCAACTTTGCGATCCGGTTAGTTATGCCATCTGGCCCTGGGGCCTTATCCGGCTTGGTCTTGCCCACCGCGGCCTGCATTTCCTCCTCCGAGACCTCCTCCTCGGTTCCAAGTTGGGCCCTGTATCGATAGCCTTCAATGTCACTAAGGTCGACTGTTTGTGGTGGTGGAAAGCATTCCTGGCGGAAGATTTCGGCTTTCTCTTCTACCTTTGTGGCTAGATTGTTCAGTTGCCCGGAGCTAATCGTCAGTTGACCTGTTCTGGGTTCCTGGGCACCTAGCTGCAGGTGGTCATTGCTAGCTGTCCTTTTGATGGCGCCGATATAGTCCGG